CTTCATTTATCTCACTTGAGAGTACCTACATCCATGCAATACAAGGGACTGCTACAATTAATTAACTATGTACCAAGCTCCTTTAAGGCGCTCAAATTTACCTCCTAACAGACAAGAGTACTAATTGATTTATCTGTCCATTTATCAAGGTAGCTTTGACAATGTAAATATTCAAATCACAGAATGTACATTTCAAAAAATGTCATAAATGCATTTACCTATCTTGCTCCTACACATGAATATTGAATTCCATATATAAAATACATATTTTATACCATTGTTAGAAAAAGGCGCGAGCTCTAAGTGATAGCAAAATACCTAATGCTTAATGTGCGCATAATTCCACTTAAGCGTGTGATTTGGTCATAAAAGAGTAAGACAGTGGCCAAAAACATAATCAATGCCTAGCCCTTTTGAAACTTTACTTCATACCTAGAAAACAATTATTCCTTTCCTCTTTTTCACAAAAATGAATGTATTGCTAGAAATATATTTTTGCAGTACTGTTATAGAAACCTGCACTCAGATTTAGTACAATCATATATTATTTATTATCTTCCTTATTTTACAGTCACGTGAAGTTATCCATCTCCCCGTCACCAAAAATGCATAGTACGTACGAGATCAAACATTGTTGACAAAATTATGTAGTGATATATTTCCTTGTTTAGCACAATGCTTTGTTGGGACTAGCAAAGTAATATTAGCCATGTGAAATTTTTGACAGCCTCTTAAGCCATTGAAACCACACCTGATTAATTTGGAAGCATCCTAGCATTTCTCTAAAAGAACTAATTTATACTATTAAGATGTAAATGTAGATAGATTATTTGCTTGATAAAGATACTGATGTTTAATTGCATACAGACCTGCGTCTTGAGCAATAACCAAGCATCATCAGGTGCTAATGTGTCGACGTGGTGGTATGGCCATATAGCTGACACCCCTCGGGCTACACCTTCATCTCTGGTGGTGATGAGGACACGGCTGCCTGGAGCAGCAGCATTGACTAACGGTGTTTTGAGCACATCTTCCCATGCTCTATAGTTCCAAACATCATCCATTATCAAGAAGGTCTTGTGGCCAATCAAGGCTTCCTTGAGGGTTTGTTGAAGCGTGGCCTTTGCATTCCCAACTGGCTGAGCGTCTCCTCTGACTTCAATGATGGCTCTTCTCAGCAGCTCAACCTCACTAAAGTTCTGGTTGACACTCAACCATATCTTTTTGCTGAAGTCACCTTGGATGGCCTCGTCATTAAAGACCTTCTGAGCGAGGGTGGTCTTGCCAATCCCACCAACACCTACGATAGCGACCACCATAATGTTGTTGCTGACCTCATTTCCAGAGCGTGTGATCTGGGCCACCAGTGCTCTTGTGTCTTCTTCGATCTTATCCCCAACCACACCCGACCTGTTAAGCTCCCCCGACGTCTCACGGCTAGAATTACCATGACTAGAACTGCTATGTTCCTCGTAGGACGCAAGATTGATGAAGTTGAAAGCAGCGCTCCGCTCCATGATGGAGTCGAGCCTCCGGTTGAGCGCCTTGATGCGGGTGCCGATCTCATGAGCATGGAAGGGATTCCGCAAGCAGAAGAGCAAGGGATTGCAACACCCTGCTTCTACAGGGGATGGCCCACGCTTCTCCATGGCTTTCAGCTGGCAGAGGTCGAGGATATCAGCAGCTTCGTACATGGCGCGCTTGAGCTGCCCCACCCAGACTTTGACGGTCTCATCGGTGATGTTTCTCCTATCAGCATCTGCGAGGAAGTTCTTGAGGTCCAGGAGCTTGTCGCCCAACTTATCGATCTCGCTGGAGACGCCCAGCATCGTTCCGAGCTCATCTTGTACCACCTGCTTGAGGTAGTCTGTGATGTAGGATGCAAAAGCATCCAACACCATCGCCATTGGTCAACTTGCTGGCCTTCCGCTGTGATTACAATTATAGGAAACTAAAGTGAGTTTTAAGTAGCAGACAGAGACATGGAAATAAAACTTGAACACTAACTAACTACCTCAAGGACAACACTGCGTCACCAACCTTTGAGAATGATGGGATGTACTACACGGCACAGAAGTCGGCGGCGACAAATACCTTGCGGTGGCGGCGGGGGGCGATGGCGGTGCTGGGGAAGAGCTGGAGCCTGGAGGGATTGGGATTTGGGAAGTAATGCCACAGGGTACTCGTTGGTAGCCGGACCTGGGTAAAGCATCAGGTGGAGAGAAGCAAAGCAAAGCGGAGCATCCCATTCCCATCGATGGAGCAAGCAAAGCAAAGAAAAGCAAAGCAGCTTCTTTTCCTTTTCCATGGAGGAGTAGATTATTTGGCAAAGAAGGTATCGAATTGGATTGGACTTAACTTTTCCTTGATGCCAATATATGCTTTTTCCTCGTGTGCACGCCAAATGACAGCGGCGCTACGGCCACCCTCTCTGCTTACCAGACTGGCCAGTGGCTGGTGGCGGCGCCTCCTTCATACCTTACTCTCCGTCCGGTCGCCGGTGCTGGGCTGCTCCTCTGACATTTTAAGACTTGTATATTTCGCATATTAAAATTTAACATTCTAGAAATGTAACAGTTTAATGTATTTGAAAATTAAAATCGTTACAAAACAAGTCACCAAAGTAGCTAGGATCCAAACACGTCCAGAACCGTCGCCATTGTATTGTATAACTTGCTGTGATAATAAAGCAAAGGTGAAACTTAAGCAGGTGGGACAAGGAAGACAGGCAAGATGCAAGACTTAATTAGCGCTAAGTGTAATTAGAGAAGACGAATATTAAACTCGATCGAATTACCTCACCAACCTTTGAGATGGACGGGATGTCCTCCTCCTCCTCCTTCAGATCAGGAGGACATTCAACTCAATCATGTTGTGTGCCAGGAAAGTGAAAATAAAAAAGCAGATCTGGTGTTGGAGAGCAAATCTGCTTAACATGTTTTTAACTCTGTCTTCTTATCACAATATTCTCTAGATCCGGTAAACAGATCACACATTTCTAGTGTGAATGGATGCAGCTCATTGCCACCATCACATCTCGTCATTATCTACACTTGATGACTTCATAGTGACAGTGACAAACAGCTGCGCTGGCCCGAGCTAATTAGTTAATCATATAAGGGCAACTCCAATGCCGACCCGCATCCGTCCGCGGACACGGATGCGGGAGGCGGCCATCCAACGCTGCCCGCATACAGTTAATTAATTACACAGATGCCAAGCCGCCACCGTAGCAGTTACACAGCAGCAGTTAAGATGATATGGGGGCAAAAGTTGGCAGCTGGAGCAAAGCATCCCACTCCCACTCCCACCAGCGAAGCAAAGCAAAGCATAGCAAAAGCATATCTCACTCCCAACAGGGACCAGACCTGCAAAACACAGCAACAGATACTGCAAAGACAACACATCTTTCAATTTTCCTTTTTAACCAGTCTCAAGTTAACTTGTGCAATAAAAGTTACCCTACACTTGCCTTCTGAAGAGTCGCTTATCCGGTCTCAACAAGGACTAGACCTGCAAAACACAGCCATGGATGTACAGGCATTAAACGTACACAGCAAGACATAACAACAGAGACCATAAATGTTCAGGGTTATGTATAAAGCATGTTGAGTACTTCTGTTGCTAATTCGGAGTAAAAAAAGGGAACCCCCCGCCCAGAAAATTTAAACATATTATGCTACACAGAACCATGACATGAGCTACCCATTTAGCAATAAGGGTGCAAGAACAGACCATGAGCTACCCATCCAGCATATTATGTGCGCACATGAGAATACTCGGGGATACTTAACTTGGGTTTAGTACCCAGGTGCAGTTTAAAAGCACATCAGATCAGGTATACAATCATGTGCCACAGTAGTTTAACTTATCAAGGTTTTTCACTTTCCATATTTATACAGCACAGCAGCTAAATTGATTACCCAAAACATGCATGCATGTGGTCTACTAGAAGCATCGCAAAGTTAGTGTTTTGCTTACCACACTGGTACCAGCTTAATTGCTTTCTGAATAAGTGAACAGTGGCATATCACAAAAACTGCGTTTCTATTTCAAGGATGAAAGAATGAACTTTGACCTGCTATATTAAGGGAACTTGGGAATCACGACACAACGAATCGTGCTAATAGCGACAATTACCGCAGTGAAACTTAAAATGTACTCCCTCCGTCCCATAATGTAAGACGTTTTTTCACACTAGCGTAGTGTCAAAAAGCGTCTTACATTACGGGACGGAGGGAGTAGTAGGAAAAAGATACCAGATTATGCAGTGAAGATGGTCTGATCTACTTACTAGCTCTGCTTTGTGTTCCTTGTCTACATCCTGTGAGCCAGACAGAAGACGGAATCAACACGAGAACATCCATAAAACTACTAAGTGACTGAGAGCAGAGCAACCTGACTATAACAAATTAAACACTTGGCCAAAATTACCTCCAGCTTCAGGTCCCAACAATCTGCAGGCTAACAAGTGCTTCGGTGGTATATCCCTCACCCTGACGCCGTCCTCATCTTCTAACTGGCGCACCCTGCTCCTCCCTGTCAATCACTTTGCATGCAACATGCAGTACACCTTGATCATTTGAACTGTCACAAACACTCTAGATGTGCTGTCAGCTCTGTTCTTCTCCAAATAGCAACAGCAGACACATTATGACGATATATCCAGAAACACGCTTAACACTAACAGCTGCTACAACACCAGTCATAAACACTGTAACTGAAGGATGTATTGTCATCTCTGTTCTCCATGCAGCAACACTGTTAGTTGTTTTCTCCACCGCATAAAAGCTTGCTGCCAATAATATAAATTACACAACACTTGTCTTTCACATACATAAGGTTATTTTCGATAGGCTTACATGGAGAGATATATGAGCAAAGTTCTCTATACTCTGTAGTCTATACATAACATCAACAGCAAACCACTTCAAAAACGGCTCCAAGCTTTAACCCAAGACCACACTGCGCCGGGTGCACATGAAATAAAAATTCACTCTCTATATGACCTTAATCTCCTTAAGCCAAGATGTGTGGAGCGGGCATGGATCTGGCTTCCCTTCCGCGAGGGCCTTCTCAGTGAGCGAGTAGAACCAACCGTTCCTCCACTTGAACTGTTATGTCGCAATGCTTACATGTTACTAATTTTAAAGACAATGTAGTACAAGTGCAGGTTCCATCGCATAGCATAGATTGGGGAGGTAGGAGGACTTGCCTCTTTCACGGCGGTCGGGAAGTGTGCCACGGCTCTGGAGTAGGCACAGAGCCTTTCTTCCATGCCCTCATCGAAAGAAAGCCCCCGCTCTGCAGCCGCAGCTGATGCCAATTCAGCTATGAGGCTGGATACCTGCGAAAGGTAAAAAAAACACAAATGGATATTGTTGGAAGAATGAGTGTCTGTTGCTCTAGGGACAGATGTCGTTAAGCTCAATCCTGGAGTATTATCAAGAAATTGATGAGGTTAGGTAAAGACATGGATCCCGTGTAGTCCTTTTTCCCTGGAAAGTTAACAGAGACAGTTCCAAACAGCAACTAAACAATGCTTTGTTGAATAAAACATCTTGTTATTATTGTAATGGAAGTGAAGGGCAAAAAAACTACTACCCTCCGTCCCATAATGTAAGACGTTTATTGACACTACACTAGAGTCAAATTGCACAACAATTTGATGACATACTCTTCTACTTCCTCAGTCTCAAAATAAGTGTCTTAAGCTTAGTATGAAAGTTAAGACACTTATTTTGGGAAGGAGGGAGTATTATTTTGGGGCCTATGAACTAATGGAACGAAATAGCTCGGGTCTCAAACAGATGTAAGGCATTCATGAAGTAGGAGAGGAAATTACCTCGGACCGGTGCTCTTTCTCGACCGCGCCAACCGTGGCCCCCGGATGGCGAGCTCCGACGAGCATGAAGGCAGAAATCCAGATGAGCTTCTCCAGCATTTGCTTCTCAAAGGCTTCCTTCTCAAGCACCTAAGGATTTATTTCCACAAACGAGTAGTATTATATTTTCAGATATGGCCCCAAATCGATCTGTGAGTAGCACTAACGCAGAAAGTTGGGAACATTTCACACTGATGAATTCCAGACTGACTGAGCTACATGCGTAATGGTATCCAATCCTGAAGGAAGGAAGGAAGGAGGGCGGCTGACCTTGCAGGTGAGGCCGCCGTTTTGGAGGCGGGCGGCGACGGCGGGAGCCCAGTTGCCGAAGGCGGCGGTGAGGCCCTCGGGGTTGGCGTCAGTAATGCCGTCGATGGGGGGCTCCCCGAGCTTGGAGACGGCGAAGTAGGCGAGCACCTGGTTGGCGCCGGCCAGGCCCTTGCTCTCCAGCCACGGGTCCAGCATCCCGTTCTGGAAGAAGACGAGGTCAGGCCACCGGGATTTGGGGGTGGCGTCGAGCACGCCGTCGAGGTCGTCGTTGCGGGTGCAGACGAGGATGGGCCCGGCCGGCGCGGCGGGCGGGAGCGCCTCGCCGCGGCGGAGCAGGAGGTCCCCGCCGGCGGGCGGGCCCATGGAGAGCAGCGCCTGGCCGACCCGGCCGCCGCCCACCACCACCGCCGGCTGCACCGCCGTGGCCATCACCGCTGCTGAAATTCGGGAGGCGGCCGCCCTGCTGCCCCTGGAGGAGGAGTAGAGGTGGTGGCGGCGGAGTGTAGTAGGTAGCGGCGCGACGGCGGCGGGGACGGAGAGAAAGACGGCGGTTTTGAGGCCCATGAGCTCAGTTCCGGCGGACTGGACGAGGATGAGGTGGGCCACGCGGCGCATGATAGATAGATAATACTCCTACCTGATGGGCCTTCCGGTTGCACTGGATAAGGCTAGACAGTCCAGTTTGTGGTCTCTGTTTTTCTTCCCTTTTTTCTCATCAATAAAAGAACAAAAAAAAAAGTACTCCCCCTTAATTTGGGAAACAAGGATAGACAGTCCAGCAGTGATCTAAACGCTCTTATATTAGTTCACAGAGGGAGTACTATTTTGCAATGTATTTTCTTCTGTTCTTTCTTGTACTCTTCCTTCCCTTTTCTCTTTACCAACGAAAATGCACGTGAGTTGCAACGGAAAAAAAAAAGTTTACAGGCTTCTCCACCATGTGCTAAGCTAAAATATGAATCTTGCTTAATGTATGATCCGCATCAATTATTCCCAGCATGGAGAAGAATTGTGATTTTCAACCGTACCGTATTTGCAAAACGATTAACAAATGTCTGCAGTTTGGTTTGCGGCTTTCTTCCATATGTAGTCCTATGGATGAGTAAATATCATAAAACTACTACTTTAGAGGCTATGGTTTCAAAAAACTACCGGCTTTTAATTTTTCTCAGATAACTACCAAGTCAGGGGTTGGCTGTTTCAAAAAACCCCAACTTCTCTTTGTTAAAAAATTAAACATGTTTATGACAGGTCGGACCCGCCGCTAAACACACCGTTTCGTTGACCGTTTGTTTGACCGTTAACTGACTTGTGGGGGCCACATGTCAGCGCCTCATCAATAGATTTTCTATAGATTAGCCCCTACAAATATTGTAAAAAAGCAATTGGGTCCCTGGAATCATTTTTAAAAAGCAATCGGGTCCTTGGGCTGCCGCCGCCGCGCCTCCAAAGGGCTCTGCCCGTGGTCGCCGTTGCACCATGGGGCTTTGCCCTTGGTCGCCGCGCCCGCAGCCTGGGTGGCCGGGGTGGTCGCCGTGTGCGCCGCTGTGGGGCTCCGGCTCAGGTCGCCGCGCCGTCACGCGCCATCGGGATCCGCCTGGAGCGCCGCCAGCCATGGGGCTCCGGCTTGGGTTGCCGCGCCACTGCGCGCCATTGGGAGCCGCCTGGGGCGCCGCCGGCCATGGGGCTCCGCTCAGGTCTCCACGCCGTGCCTCGCCCGCGGCCGCCGCCATCCCCTGGCCCGAGCTCCTCAAGCTCGATGCAGATGGCCTGTGCCGCTGCTGGAGTATCGCGGACGAGGCCGGCCTTGTTGCAACCGTCGCCACTAGGAGCTCCGGCTTGGAGGGAGGTTCGCCGGCTTGGGAGGGGGAGGGGTCGCCGGCTTGGGAGGGGGTCGCCGGCTCGGGAGACGAAAGGTCTGGTACAGGAGGCAGAGAAAGAAAAAAGAGAGGAGGAAGAAGAAACTTACATGTGGGCCCCACATGTAATTTAACGGTCAAACTAAGGTGAAACTAACGGTTTGTTTAGCTGTGGGCCCAACCTGTCATAATCGTGATCAACTGATAGAGACTCGATGATTTGGGTTTTTTGAAACAGCCAACACCTGACTTGGTAGTTATCTGAGAAAAATTAAAAGCCGGTAGTTTTTTGGAACCATAGCCTGTAAAGTAGTAGTTTTATGCTATTTACTCCCTATGGATGGATGAGGCTAACAAGGTGACACGGATTTTGACATAGGAGTGATATTTCGTTGACCACACCGAGGTGATGTGTGAATTTGCAACACCTGATTCACGTCCATGGATGCGCGGCATCAACACCAACAAATTGGATCAGTGGCAAAAGTCTAGGAGGTTGGCGGCATCTAGACGAGTATATACATTGGTACGAGTAATTGGGAAATTACTTACAGAGCGAGCGCGAGGTAGGCTTTTTGCGATGATTGGTATAAGATTTAATGGCAAAATTCATCGTTCGAGAAGCACAACTCAAACTATTCTTTTATCTTAATGGATATTTCTAATTGCCTATGTGGTCCGTGGCTTCGACCAAAGGAGGTTCGATGCGTCGAGGATGATGAAGGCCTCTGGTGGAATTCTAAGGCATAAACATAAAAAGAAAACATTGTTGGTCCATTCTAGAAATGTTCTCCGGGCATTTTTAGAAAAATGTTTACAGATAGTATAAAATGTTAAGCTAGCACGTACTCTATTTTCTATAAATAACACATCACTTGTCTGTCACATACATACTCTATTTTCTACTGTATATATGCATAGCATCAACGGTTAAGCTAGCACCTCAAAAACTTGCCCAATCCAAGCATAGGAGAGAATTAAAAAGAAAATCCAGGCAACTGTAAACATGCCACAGAAGAGCAGACACTATGCAAAATGGGGTTCTACAGAGTGCAGTGATATTGCTCCATGAAGCAAAAAAATATTCCCCGCAGCGGTTCTAAACCATTTGAAACATTACATTACTTTACTTTCAATCAGTACACAAAACAAAACACCTTCCTCATGTGAGGCGCGTCCGTTCTCTTCATTATTTACCGGCCGGCAAGGCAATACATACATACATACATACATACATACAAGTTACCGATGATAATTACGACAGTCAAGATCAGATGCTACTACTATCTCCTTCCTTCCTTCCTACAGAGAGCAGCCAAGCCACATCCGGGAGAAGGCGTCCGTCCGTCTGTCTCTCTCTCTAAGAGGAAGATGGCTTGCCCTCCTCATCATCCTCATCATCATCTTGATCATCACCAGCAGCAGGAGGCTTGGCCATCTGCACGTAGCCCTGACCCTGATGGGTGCACACGCGCTCCGGCTCCCCCTTGAACCACAGGTTCCGCAGCTCCCCGCGCTTCCACCCCAGCGACATCAGCGTCCCTGCACCAACTCACCCAAACCAGCTTTCACCCTCAGCTACATACATACAGCGTCTACAACTTTTGTCACTTCATTCAGACGAGAGAGAGAGATGTATCCTAGTGCTGCTTTCTTTCTTTCTTTCTTTCTTGCTTACTTACCCAGGGTGAATGGCACGATGTAGAGCAGCGCCGGCTGCCCATGCCCGTCCATCAGGTTCAGCGCCACGTACGTGATCAGGAGCCCTGGTTGTGCCCCAGCAAGTTAAAAAAAATTGGCGCCCATTTTTGTGAGAATGGATGAAAAGGAAGATATCAACAGCTCTGCTCGCGGGATGGGGATGCAACAGGAAAGAGGAGGGGCGCAGATCGCTCACCGGTGCCGTAGGCCGACGCTGACCACAGGAAGTAACCGGATCGCAGTCTCTTCTTCGCAGCCCAATCATACCTGCAGCAAAACAAAAACGGAAACTGGATGCTGAGCTCGGTTGTTAACCACATTAATAATGCACACAACAGCATGTTAAAACAACTGTCGTACACCACTAGTACATAGCAACTCTCTTGCTGTAAGCTTTTGTTCATATGAAAGAATGGCTGGAACGGTGGAACCTTTGGCAAACCGACCTCAACGCAAATGCAACAACCAGGCCAGGAAGAAGGATGTCGCCAAAGCCAATGATGCTGTACCCGCCCCACGGGTCAAACATCCGTGGGATCTTTAGCAGCATGGGCACACCGTCTTCGTCGGTATTGTCACCGCGCGCAACCTATAATGACAGGACCAGGTTTAAATAGGAAGCCACCAAATATCATAATAGCCGTTTTAAAATGCCTACCGCGATCATCACGCTCTCATGAAACAAACTCTTGGAGACGAACACCCAGAAGATGTCGTACAGGAACGCACAGCTCAGAAGGACTGAACCGACCTGATCATGGACATGAAGAAAAACATGTAAACTCGTACCAAATCTGAACGCCATGTTATAACCAAATCTTATAATTTAAGAGCAGCTGTATTACCTTGAGGTTAGGTACTCTGACGATCTGGATGACAGTGACTATCAGCGCAATGCCCTGAAAGAAGCGCAGAGTCAGGAATGAATAGATACATGGCAATTACTAGTACATTGGAAGACTCTGCCTGGACACTACAGACGGCTGCAGCACTCACAAGGATGTCTTGGGCGATCCAAGCGTAGGGAAACTGGCGGTAAATAGCCCACAGAACAGCAAACACGACGCAAAACGGGGATACCGCCATTGTCAGGTATGAGATTGCTCCAAAGAAGGGCACTTTCACAAAAGATCCCGCAGCAGATGTAAACCATCTGAACCATCCCATTAACGTTCAATCAGTTATGGACTGACAGTAAACAGAACATTTTTAGTGCTGCTGGAGAACGATAACTCTAGTCTGATGTACCTTGATAATATAGCCACCAAGCATGTTTGCAGGCCCTGCATAAACAAAAGGCGTTGGTTCAAGAAAGGGGAAGCAGCAGATCATCAGAGCATCTGATGTTAATTATTGTTTCACCAGCATCAAATCTTTTGGAAGTATGGTAAAAGCGCAAGTCCGATATAAAAAGCATACCTCTACACCGCCGATGCAGAAGATGACAACCAGTAGATCGATAAACCAGGCGGACATGAGCTTGTAAAGCATTATCAGGAAGCACGATGCGACGACAACAAACATCATCGCTGATATCACGTTGATGTCCACGATGCCACTAGAACCTCCTCCCTCAACAGTCAGTGAGACTTCATGTCCATCCTTTACATTGCAATAAGTGCATATGTCAGTCCCCACCCACCCACATTACAAGTTGAAGAAGCATATATAACAAGTAATCATCGTAGGATTAGTGGATAAGAACCTTCAGGAGCTTTTCCTGTTCGGTGACAGCTTCTCTGGCGCTCCATGCTGACCAGTAGGACGCACAGAGGACGGTGCCGACGGCCATGAGCCAGAGGAACACCTCCGCCGTATCGACCACGGGACGATCTGGAGAGTATAGCTGCACACCAACTAAGGGAAGATGCATACATACAGAGATACATATGTCAGTAGGCTATATATATGTTTTTGGCAGTAGAATGAATAATAACTAGAATCATCCAAGTTAAACCTAAAGTCGGAACCGGGTGGAAAACCAAAGTAAGCACTCACACTTTTCGCAGTAAAAAAATCAGAACATCAGGAGCAGCAATGGGCTAAGGGGTTGCT